TCTCTCGGCCGTGAAGTGGACCAACCGTGATCTCAGCCCAAAACACATCGCTTTGGGCTATCTTCACAGGTAGGGTGTTATTTTCACTCCCTCCGGGCCGTGAAGTGTGACCATGACCGCGAGATGACATTAGACGTATTGCTGGAAAATGACTATCTTCACGGTTTGGGAGATTTTCACTCCCCCAGGCCGTGATATTTGCCTAATGCCCGTGAACCGTGCACAGGCTCCACTTTTTGACTAGTTTTGACCTCCAAATTGCCTGAAACTCGTCCCTAACCCTCCCGACACTTATTAAGACCTGAAATGTGACAAAAAATAGCTCAACCTAGAGTAAAATATGTCAAGAGACAACGATTATCGAGACAAACAATCAAGATATGAAGGGATAAAACATGTTTAATCATGCACGAATCAAACTCCCCACACTTAAACGTTTGCTTGTCTCCAAGCAAACCAAGTACAACACAATGTAAGTTTGCAACCTCTTTCCCAAAAAAAATTGGGGCACGTCATAGGGCACAGAGAAAGTGAATCACAATAGCTATTTGACACCGGCATATGGACAATAACAACAACAATCCTGACAACCACCACAAATGACATTCGAATGCAACAAAACTGTGTAAAGCCAGAATCTTCACCTTGTTCACAAACCAATACACAGCCTATCTAAATGACTCACCAATCACAGTCCTTCATGCATAAAGATAAAGTCATCAGAACAGACGACTGAGCAATCTAGGTCCTCACCGGGGTTATGATAATATGAAGGGATAATCGCTTACTCTCGACCAGTGGGGTCAGGACCATTTTGATGCAAAAGATGTGCATATTCATACATTCAGCCCTATTGTCTCTTCACCATGACAACAACTTGTAAATGCTAGAGCTCACAGGATGGGTGTCATCATTAGCTTGTCCGGAGGTTTTAGACACTGGTTGAGATCATTGGCTAGGGTCTAGGACATGGGGAAAAGCTTTTTGGGTGGTGACACATGTAGCATGAGGTTCCACAATTTCACCTAGAACCTATTCACAACAAACAAAGACCACTCACAACAACCACAAATCACATGTTCCGCAATTCCAAATCACAACCAATCATGAACACTATCCACACATACTTTCTTTGCTATAACTGCTATTGAAGTTGTTTAAGCACAAGAGTGAAGGAGGTAAACAATTATGTTTGTGTTCCAAAGCTTGACTTCTAAGAAACACACTTCTTAGAGCATGAACAACTTTTTGGCCACTCTCTTCTTTTCGTTTCCCTCTTTATTGCTTCCTTATCTTCCTTTTTTCCCTATTTTTTTTTTCCTTGAGGGGAAGAAGAGAGTTAACAAAACATGCCACATTCTTTAAACTTTATAACCACATGCTGAATTTTTTAAGAACTTCCTCCAACACTCATTTTCACATTTAGCATAACCATGCACGAATCACTATGTGGAACCTCAATAGAGCTCAAGTAACGGGTGCTCCGAGACATAAGGATGATTTAACAATGGTGTAGACACGAAGAAAGTAAGGGCCACTATATTGAATCTCAATTAAGCTCAAATAGCGGGAGCTACACAAGAGCGGCCCTATGACACACGACTCAAAAGAGTTGACAAGGGGATAATGCAATCGGGACAAGTCAATTTTTGGATCGTGGGCTAATTCTATTCCTTCATCTTCCTTGCTAGTAACAACGTGAATGCTACACATCATGGTAAGAGGTATATATGACACAAGAAAAAAACGAGCACCACAAATCTCACTTGGCTACCTAGATGCTCAACCATTCATTCCAACTTCCAAATTCCGATGCATAAGCAATTGTAATCAATGAGTAATCAATCCAAAACATCCATTGGTTTGCTAACACATGAGAACTGAACATTTACACAATCCTTGTGCATATCTCAGTCATCATCATAGGTCGTTCTCAAACGCAAACAATTCATTCATATATCGCTGCTCATAGCCACGAGATTCAAAAAAAATCACCAAAAGTTCAACTATGATCATGCAAACGGAGCAGTTGTTTTGCTTGGAGCCCTCAAATTTTTGAAATTTGGGTATTCAACTAGACTCCAAGCACTCAAAATCACACCAATCATTCACACACACAAGCATAATAGAATACCCCCACACTTAAGCTGGACATTGCTCTCTATGGCATAAAGTAAGGAAGTAAAACATGTTACCGGATATGGTGTGAATGTTGGTGGATGGGATTCGTGGTCGGGTGAGATTCGGAAGAACAAGGCCACATCCAAAATAAGAAAAGCTCCCCAAAGGTTGTCTTATTGAAGATTAAAGAAAACAAACCGATGGTGGTTGGGTTGTCTCCCAATAAGTGCTTCTTTAACGTCGTGAGCCGGACGGTTTCTCCTCAAGTCTCAATCCATCCTAGAACCTCCTTGAAGTTGAGGTTCTCGTCAGTGAGGTGGTGTCTCAATCCACGAGGATTGGACGAGTCCTTGATTGAGGGCTCATGAACTTGGATAGTTTTGATGCCCCACCCACGAGACCTCTCCTTATTTCCTTCTTCTTTCTTCCCTTTGCCCCATACAATGTAAAGACATCATGGATTGACCACCAACGCATCCACCAAAGAGGGATCAATTATGGTTTGGCCTTGGCTTGGAAAAGAGCCGCAAACAGGTCCTTCTCGAGTAGCGCATCAATGTCGGGTGAAAAGCTTTTGTAGCACTTGTAACTTGTAGAAAATTCATCCACCACGACCTCGCCCTCATCTGGGACACCACTTGTATCTTCAACCTCAACCTCTCTTCCTTCTTCCTCCTCACTTTGTTCCTCCCATTGGGAACGATCAATATCTTCCTCTTCTTCAAAGCAGCAGCGGATCGGGCGGGGGGGGGGGGGGGGGGGGGGGGGGGGATGCCAACCCTCCTCTGGTTCAAAACTAACTAGTATAGCACTTGTAATTTTTTTTTTATTTTCGGTATTCATTTAAGTGTTCGTCGACCTACGGCCCAGCCCACTCTGCCTCTTTTCAAAATGTGGCCCAGTGCTCTACCCAGGGAAGGCGTTAGGATGGTTACTAAAATTCTAGTAGCCACCTTGGCTACATCAATATCTACCATCCATTTTTTTTCTTTTTCCTATATTTTTAATCTCACGATTATGATTGCTCGGGGATAATTTTGGAAACAAAAAAGAAACCACACTGGATTATTCTATATATACACAAACCCTAATTCTACCCTCTCCTCCTTCCAGCCAAACCCAGACTCACCGGCCGCCTCTCCCCTCCCCTGTTGTCCCTCTCTTCCTCCTTCCTCCCCATCCCTCCCCTTCGCCTCTCTCCTCCCCATCCCACCCCACCCCCTGTCGTCCCTCCCCTCTCCCCTAACCACCCCACCCCCTCCTCCCATCATCCCTGCCTCCTTCCTCCTCCACCCTCTCTCTCTCTCTCTCTCTCTCTCTCTCTCTCTCTCTCTCTCTCTCATATATATATATATATATATATATATATATATATATATATATATATACTCGTCAGAAGGGAGGAGTCGATGGACAAGCGACCTGGACCGCGGAAGTCGTCAAAGCAATCGACGGCGCTGGCCATCCTTTTATCTCCGACCCTCTCGCTTCAATGGTATTGTTTTTGTTGCATTGGTATTGATTTTGTTGCATTGGTATTATTTTTGTTGCATTGGTATTGATTATCATGTAATGGTAGTAATTTGCATGTACTGGTATTGATTAAATATGCAATGGTATTATTTTTTGTCAAATGGTATAGATTTATATTTGTAGATTGTTTATATTGGTAGTTTTCGTGTAATGGTATAGATTTATTTATGCAATGGTATTGATATTTTTCAAAGTGGTAGTGATTGTTTAATGGATTGGTAGTAATTTCGTGTTTTTTTTTCTTTTGGAGAAAGATTGAGAAAAATAAGGAAAGGGGATCTGGCTGGAGATTACGGAAGTGAGAGAAAGAAAGAGAATTGTAATTAATAGATTATTGTAACTACCTAAAATAAAATTTATTTTAAAAATTAATTAATACAATTTATTTTTCCATACCCAATGTACCCTTAGTAACCATGGTGATTACTACTTTGTAGTAATCACCGTAACCTGTCCCCTCTACCCAGTCTTGGATCCGCCGCTGCTTGAAAGAGGTATTTCATAACAAATTAAGAGAAAATCCAATAATGCCCTCCACTTTAATAAATGGAAGGGAAAGGGAGTTGAAGAAGAAAGAGACCATTAGAGACACTTTGGAAAATAGAATTGAGAGATGACATATTTGAAATAACTAGCGGAGGAGGTATTTGAAATAACTCAGTTTAATGATTTCTTTCAATAAAGTCAAAATACTTTCAAAACGAGTTATTTGTTCAAAATAATTCATTGATATGCTCCATCCAAACAACCGGTTAGCTATAAAGGAAACATAGCTTCATCAACGATAACATGGTTAATTTGCACTATATAGGTGAGCTCGTTGCTCACTTTTGCATTTAACCATCTCGGAAAGAATGGCGAGGGCAAATCTTGAGGCAAACATTCATTAATTTACCCAACAGTTGAACAACAAGAACATAAACCAAAAGCAACAATGGAAACCCAAGCTTCAACTTTACTTAGCAATCCAACACTGCTAGTTCTTTTTTTCTCAATGGAAGTATATAAAATAACAGCTGGAGAAAATAAAAGAAAGAACAAGGAAAAGATGGGCAGTTAATTCAGGTAAATTTGTTGATAGGTGATGGAGCAGATTATATAGTCAAACTTTTCTCTCCCACGGCTCATAAACAGACTCGTATGCTTCTGCGGATTCCAACAAACCTACCATCTCTTGATCTTCATCATTATGGGGCTCTGCTGGATTTGTCAATTCGGAATCCCTCCCCTTCTTAACAAGTCAACCACAACAGATGATGTTTATTCCTCGAGCAAACCGTGATCCGGAAACCCACTAAGAATAAATTATGCACTGTAGTAATCATCAATCGTCAGCTCCCAAGGCACTAAAAGTCACGTCCTTTGTAGGGGTTTTCCTGTTATCCAAACGATTTTGGCCAAAAACAAAACATCCCCAAATCAATAACCTAACCAACAACACCTTATTTCTTTCAGAAAGCATATCATTCAATACCAACAAGGTCTAGAGATGCTGAGAACTGCTTACAGGTTGGTATCCTGGCATGTACAAGACTTGCCTCGGGTGACCGAGAAGCATCTGCTGACCATACTGCAATCACAAAGACATTTGGGTCAGACTCAGCAAGTCTGGCCACTGTGTGATAAAAAATCAACAGCACGTCAAATTTGGGTCTCGACTAACAAACAACAGCATACCTGAGGTCCGCTAGGATGGAAATAAGGTTGGGGCGATTGCAATGGTGCAACTTGTGGGTTAAAGAGAACGGGCTGATGCCCACTGTATGATGGACCCATCTGCCAAAATAAAAAAAATTTGTCACCATTATTTCACGGAAGAAATCTCATTAACTGTTCCTATCAGCCTTACATGTAATCTTTGCAGGTCAATGAATTCAGAAAATTCACAAATAAATATGCATGATGAACTTATCACAGAACAAAGGTACAATTTTCGCGTTGCGAAGAACATCAACAAATTGATCATTGCCATTGAACAGGAAGGACTGTTTCTCTTTAACTCCAACCAAATAAAAGGAGAAGCACAGCTGGTGATCAGTTTCAATACTTACACCAATCCCCAATGGCAGCCCATGCATTTGTGGTTGACTGGTAACATTTGCCGGGAAGTAGAAAGAACCATCAGAAACTGGTGACGGAGGCCGAACTGGCGACGAGTGTGAAGGAGTGAAACTCTTTGCATGGGGGTTGAATTTAAATTCCTGTTGGCAAATAGAAAACACAACAGGAAGCAAAAAACATACTAACTGCACAGGCCATGAACAACGAAGAAACCCAACATGATGGTAACAAAGCATGAAAAGCATCAGCTGGGGTAGAGAAAGCACTAAGCAGTACCTTAGCATGTGGATTCAGTGTTGACTTTTCAGAAGATAATGAACCAATTGATGAGCTTGGAGATAAAGCAGGACGGTTAGAAGCTGGGTTAGCAACTGCATAATCCAAACTTGATGCAGAGGTGCCAGGTTGTCTAAGTGCACTAACAACAGAACTCTCTCCAACCACTTTAACAGAAACGGCACCCTCTGGTACAGTACGTGATATTTCTTTTTGAGAACTTGCCGCCAAAGGAGCATTGACAGTAGCATCAGCCGATCGTCCACCTCTATCGCAGCCATTATCCTGACTGTTGTCTGAAAAATGGGATTCTGAAAGGCAACAAATATAGGAAGTATGAGCACAAACACAACTATTTCAGACAACTAGTTGCTCATTACAACACCCCCCATGCATGCTTCGACATTAGCAGATGACATATAAACAATGGTAATTCGCTCACCATTGGATTTAGACAACTTGGCATCCAAAACTACCTGTATGTCGAAAACAGAAGTGGAGCATAATATTCCATCAGAATCCTTTTAATCTAAAATAAAGGGATGTTGTAGATTCAACTATCAAAAGAATGGCTGGAGGATTTGGTAAATTTGCCTCACCGTTTTTGCATGGAAGCTAGCGCTAAGTTTATCATGCCCTTGTGCAACTTGCGAAATCTCAGGGTTCCTACAGTTTCAAGGTGAGCATTTTAGGAACTTACATAACCACAGAGAAATGTGTCCTTTGCAGACTATTCAAAGCAATAAATGCAAATATAATGAACAAGGAGCGACTTGTGTACAGACCTTCCATCACTATCTAAAGTGGAACTTCTACAAGGAAGATCATCTGTCTGCTGTTTACCATGGCCATATGTATTGGACTGGAGAATATCTGGGTCACTACTTGACTGAGAACATTTTGGTTCATGCTGGGTATTACAAACAAAAGGATAGTATCACTAGTCCATACGGCCAAATGCGTAGAATATTAAATCCAAAAAGAAATTTCACCAACAGAATCAACCGTCTAAATAATGGACTTTCATCCCAGAAAACAGAAATAAAAGAGCAATACCACTGATGAGATTGATAACACTCCAGCACTGTCATTGCTTTTAGCACGAGTCAGATCAGCCTTTGCACCGGATGATGCAGGTACATCCCCAAATGTTTCAGTATTCCGTTTGTCTAACAATATATTCTCATCTTCATCGTATCCACTATCATCTACCTCCCTGCCTCTGATGACTGAAGAATACCTCGCCTCCTCATCACCATCGAAATCTTCGCCAAGGTTGATGCCCCTTTCCTGAATCCATATTCCAGTCAAGAGATTCAATGACTTTTACAACAGCAGATAGAATAAAGCAAAGCTTAGAGAGAGCCCTCAATCACCTCTGCTAAATGTAGATCTTGTGTATCCTCGCCCTCAATTTCTCTAGCAATCCTTGTTGCTTCCCTCTCCAACTCTCTCATTCGAGGGCCCTTCTCCAACCTTGTAGTGTAGAGCTCCTCATCAAAAGTGCTTTTCACTCCAAATAGCATTTCGTTCGTTTCAAATTGATCCCACCCCCTGAAATTACATAAAAGGCCAAGTGAATATCACATTCCTCGGATGGCAATGAATACGCAGAGAATATCCCACTGCATAACGATAAACTTTCTCCAGGATCTCGTTTCTACCCCCAGCAGTGGTTACATAAAGCACCCAGCACAGAAAGTAAAGATACTATAAACTCCAGCACCCCCTGCGGGCTCTAATACCTAGCAGCTGTAACCCAAAAACAAGTAGAGCACCCATTCAAAAGAATAACAGGTATAAAAGTTGGGAGCCTTATACAGCTGGCCATAAGAAAAGGAATTTACATGAAGAGGCGAAATAAGGGATCTATATCATAGTAACCTGTTCCAAGGGCCGTCAAATATGTTGTCGAGTTCAGGGCATTGTGGATCATCTTCATCCGGTACCCACGGCGATAGCTCTCTCTGCGGTTCCACATGACGGGAGTGTGATATAGATGAATCTATCAAAATTTCCTGATGGCTTTCATTTTGGAGGTCACCGGACTGCCCAGCCATAGTTACAGGTACATCCTGGCAGAGTTAAATAAACAAGTATAATACATCACAAATAATCAAAAGACCGAGTCAATAGCTTCATCATTTCATTCATTAGAAATAGCTATCTAGCTCTTTCGTGCACTGAAGATGAACCTGCATCGTTAGCACATATCATACTGAAGCAGATAGCCAAGAAATGCATCAGACCTTAGCTATGACCTGCGCAACCTCTTTTCCGGGTATAATTAAAGTCTTGGAAAGAGCTTTCATTACATATTCCTGCTTACTCCCCCGACAAGAGACATCCTTTGCCATGCGAGCCATTTTCAAAACAATAGCTGAAACAGACACACATTCAAAAGGCTTGGAAATATAACACAAACCAGATACAGCAACGAATGAGCTAGCCTCTCAGTATACTAATTAACAAACTACGGGCATTTTCATCCAAACAAGGTCAAGAAAGCTTACCAAATTCCTGCTCGACATTTGTGGTGTAACACGTTCCGGCGAATATGGACCCATTTTTCAGCTGGACTTCCACAGGATGCCCAATAAGGCAGGTTGATAGGTATGCCAGCCGATCACGAGATGGACTCTCACAAACTGGAACTTTGCTGGTCCCAACTGCACTTACACAAACATTGTCAAAGAAAAACTCTCAACATACGAGGCTTAGCAGACCAAGTCAGAGGCCCTCACTTGCATTCATCGATCTATTCTGGTTCAATTTTCCAGATTGAGGTTTATTTTCCAATTTCATCCCGCTCTCCCTTCGACGAGCAAATCCATTCGCAGAAGATTTGGGCTGAGCAGTCTGTTGCATGTTCATCTCAGTAGCGCCCAAGGAAGATCGGAGGTTTTGGGGCTTTAGGGATTCGGAGGCGAAAGAAGATCGGAGCAGGAGCGGAGAGACCGGGGAAGGGACAGATTTTTGACAAAGTTACAATTTTGGCCCCAATCAGTGGCGTTTCTTATATGGCTTAATTGCAAATTTGATCACTCGAAATGCTACAAAATTTCACGTTTGGTCATTAAAATTGATTTATTCCATTAATAGTCACTTAAATTAGTTGAACAGTCCAAGTTTGGTCACTCTTCGTTAACCTCCGTTAGACCCATTAATGACGACCGTTAAGTGATGACGTGGCTAACAGAAAATCACAGTAAGCATATTTTAACCCTAAAAAATGACTACCCGACCCGCCATGTCAGATTTGCTCGCCATGTCACCCTTCCCTACCCAACTCGCAAACCAACCCCATAATCGACCCAACCCCAAACCCCCTGAATCTGAAAAGTAAAATCGAAACAGGAAAGGGTAGGTTACTTTCCATTCTCCGTCGTCCTTTCATCCTCCATTGCCTTTCTTTTCACTTCATTTATGGGTTCTCCGTTTCCTTGTGGCAGGAGCAACGACTCGTTGCTAGATAACAGTAATCATGCCTATTTTCCCGGAGAGCAGCACAATTGGGGACCAAATCAGGTTTAGAAGGTCCAGTAGAAACAACTTCCATTCCCATCATCTTCATCGCCATCAGCTAGACCCAGCAGTAGCAGCCAAAACAGATCCCAACCCACAACTCTCTCGCCCTCCCAAATCCACCACCATCTCTTCCCTCTTCATCTCCCCATTCTCCCCCAACTCAAGCGAACCCACCACAATCACCATCGCCAACAACAGTACTGTTAGCGGCAAGAAGACGAGAACCGCTGCCTTCAGATGCTTGGGATGCGCTGTTGGGGCTGCCCGTCAGGTGTCGATCCCGGCGGTGATAAGGTCATCGGCGGAGTGGGATGGAAAGAAAGTAAAGAAGAAGATGAAGAAAAAAATTTGTGGTTGTATCTCCTGATCCTCCCCCGCCACCGCCGCAGCAGAGGAGGAAGATGAGCGAGCAGCATGGGAGTGTCGATTTTACTTTTCAGATTCAGGGGGTCGGGTTTGGGGTTGGGTCGATTATTGGGTTGGTTTGCGGGTTGGGTAGGGAAGGGTGACATGGCGGGCAAATTTGACGTGGTGGGTCGGGTAGTCATTTTTTAGGGTTAAAATATGCTGACTGTGATTTTCTGTTAGCCACGTCATCACTTAATGGTCGTCATTAACGGAGTCTAACGGAGAGTGACCGAACTTGGACTGTTCAACTAATTTAAGTGACTACTAATGGAATAAACCAATTTTAGTGACCAAACGTGAAATTTTGTAGCAATTCGAGTGACCAAACTTGCAATTAAACCTTTCTTATATTAACTAGATTAGTGGCCGGCTTCTATAAAATAGGTGTACTTATACACACAAGTAATTTCCTAGAGTTCCCTTCGTCATGGCTTTTTTTTTTAGCTAATGTGCTTTATTTACTGCACTCAAAATTTGTGTTTGATTTTTTGAATCACATAAATGAACGTTAGGTTAAGAATAAGAGGTATTTTACAATGCCATATAGCATGTGTGTTATAGATTTTTGCTTTTATTGTACAATTTGAAGTTATTATTGTAGAACTTAAACTTGTAATTTTATGTGATGGTATGACTTTAAGTTGTAAAATTGTACCATGATATAAGGGTACAAATTAATTTATGGTACAACCTAAACAATAAATTTAACATTATGGCATAACTTCAAGTTGTACATTAAACACTAATATTTTATACTATATTAAAAGTGCTCTAAGAATAAGGAAAAATATTAAAGATAATTCAACCAAAACACTCAGCAAATACTAATGATTAGCGATCCTTAGTTGAAAATATAATCATATAAGCTTGATATATATGGTTTAGAATTTTTGTTGAAGTATCGTCCAAATTAATTACCGTTGAAATCATTCTCAAATAGGTATAAAATCCATGTTATTAATCATGGGGAGTAAGGGATTTTGACATCATTTTTTTTATTTCAACCAATATTCACCGCACCCTGTTTCTTTATATTAATGAAAATTTTAAACTACCCTTCTTCCTAATATAAATACCCAAATTATAATTAACAAAAAGGAGAAACCATAAACAAATTCCATTATTAGCAGCCGATGGGGTCGGATACTATGCCTACCTCCAAAGGGGTTGGGTTTTTTACACTCTCTTCAATGGTCAATATTTTATCAATCATTTGACAAGTATTACTGAAAGTAGACATAATAAATGCATATTATTCACATAATAATGACACTTTCTATTAATAAAAAAATCTTTTTATTAATACAAAAACCATCTTCTCTAACCCTAGTCGTCTCTCTCTCCTCTCCCCCCACTCATTCTGCCGTCGCCGTCACCACTATCCCTCTTGTCGTCGTCGTCCTCCGCCGCCTTCCACCGCCACCATCCTCCTCTCTCCAATCGTCATCGTCCTACTGTCACCATCCTCCAGCATCGCTGCCACCATCCCCGCCGTTGCGCCGCCCTCCTCCCCCACTCTCTTTCTCAATGAGCTTTCAATTTCCAGATCTGACTTTTCGATTTCCAGTTTTGATTGTTGTACCACTGCATTGATAGTTATACCACTGCAATTTAAACTAAGATCTTAGATTTGTAATAGTGCACTGGTAGCGCACTGGTATAACTTTTTAGGGTGCGCCTATGGTGACATGTATGTCACTGTAACTTGCACTTTTCAGTCGACCTAATCCTAACAGAGGTCGACCGAATACACTAATGTGGGCACCCTAATGACTTATCACAGTCGACCTTTAAAATGTAGTGGTCGACCATTTTTAGTTTAAGATGTCATTGTCGGTCGACCACAATAAAACATCGGTCACCCTTTTCATTGGCGTCAAAGCAAAATGGTCGATCGTAAAGGTATATAGGTCGACCACTTGATGACAGTCATTAACAGAATGATCGACCATTTTCAGAAAACGGTCGACCAGATAGAAGAGAAGTGTTGTATCCATTTATCCATCACCATTTCACGTAAAATGAAAATCAAGAGTGTTGGTTTCGAGGTCGACCTAATCCGGTACGAGGTTGACCGAATACAGGAAGATCAACCTATGAACTGCGTCTTTTTTGCTTATGTATGGTTATGTGGGTGGTTCTTTCGCTCGTACTAATTACATTTCAAACCAACAGAATCCGTCCTAAACAATGATAGCAAGGACTTATAACTTCATAACATAACAACTAAATAAACTAACAAGAAATATAATAAAACACACATCATAATTGTTCACACATAACTAAAATCTAAAATCACATAATATCAATCCACAATCATTTTTAAGACTTAACAACAAAAACAAACAATCTAAAATCGTCGAGTTCCTACTCCTCTCCCCTCTCCCTCATTCGCATTTTCTTCATTGGTGGTGCTAGCATTATGGTAGTCGGATGTGGTGGGATGCATGTATTTTCCACTGAAAGATAAAAAATCCTCTCGCATCTCATTCACGCTCACCTGCAGTGTGCTCATGTGGGTGGTCATTTGCCCCATGTAGTCGTACATGCCTGTCATCTTGGTGGACATCTGCCCCATGTAGTCGTACATGCCATCCATGCGCTCCCACATACGCTCTAAGGTGACCGATGGAGTTGAACTCTGTGGTTGTGCCATTGGCTCGTCTCCGGCTCCTTCATCAGCATCACGAGCATCATCCTCATCACGACCATGGACACCATGACCAGTGTATAATCGGACAACTCACCATTATGCAGATTAAATCCCATCATTTTCAGGGATGAACCTGTATGTTGTATAGAACTCCTGGCTTGAGATTCTTAAGCCAACCTCACCACTTAAATCCACAACAGAATGCTCAAATAGCAAAGTCAGGATCATCTCATAGGGAAGATTCTTGGTTGAACTCTCTATAGCAGCAAGCATGTGTTTAAAGATCAAGTATGGCAAGTTCACCTTCTCATTTGAAAGTAGGTTGATGAGGAGCTCCATGTCGAAGTAGGTGACTTCCTCCCAATGTGCACCCTTTGGCAGAATGTTGTAGTAAAGCATGTGGCGAATGAAACACCCTAACCCGGCCGGGTACTACTTTTACTAAAATGCCCTTGATAAATAAAATGCTCTAATCTTAAATGGCAGTGGGAAAATTTTTCATAACTAAAATACTGAAAACACGCACTTGTAGATCAAAGCAAAGCCCTAACAAGTGGGCAAACTCCATACTAAAAATCTCAAAATAATCTCCAGTCTGTACTCATAATCATCAATGTAAATAACTACTAATCTCTAATGTTGTTGCTACTGAAACCCTTGACTAAGCATCCTCCGTGACGCTTACACTGCTCTCCTCTAGCTGACTGGTCTCGAACTCGCTTCTCACTAACTGCTCCTCTAGCTCTTCAAACTTTTCCTCTTGGCCGTTAGGCTATTCTCACCAAACTCGTTAGCAGTAGTTTTGAATGGCTATTTGTACTTTTATTGGCCCTGCTCGGTCAGTGCTTGTTGTTGGGCCTTAAATCAAAGTCGAGGTATCACATTTCCTCCCACCTTAAGAAAAATTTCGACCTCGAAATGTGTTCATCTTGACAACCCAAAGTCCCACTTGAGGTAATCCTTCCATTACAGGGATTTATGCTTCATTTACTTTGTACAACCTTGAGCTATGATTCCTTCCCTCCAATTCGTGTGGTTCTTGGTCGAATGATAACTCACTCATCCCTCATAAACTACTTACTCCGCTAGCGTCTTACTCAAAGTGACTATGTATTTGTGACACTCTCCTTCATCGAAGCCCTTGATGTTGTTGTGGCTTCTTAACCCCTCGCATTACCTAGGCTTCACCTTGTACATATATCGGAACGATACTATCCATTATTCGGTACATGAGAAGTTAATGCCCCTCTCCAACCCCAAGGTCACTAATGGCGGCTTATCCTCC